GAATCCACATCCAGGAGCTCTAGGGGAAATCCCCTCTGGAGTCTTTCAAGAAGCTAGGCGGGTCTAAATATTCATACCCACAACCTCCACCCCATACCCTAGGGAGAAAAATGAAGGCTCAGTCAAGTGAAAGACTTCCCTGGAGTCAAGAGAGCTGCAAGGCCTGGAAAGGAAGTGCCCCCATCCCTCTCCTCCCACCAGGCCTAGGCAAGTTTCTCTCCTCACAGAGACTATGAGGTCGAAACCACAGAAGAGAGGACTCTTGTGTCTGCGGCTGGGTGGGAGGAAGGGCTCAGCGCCAGACGGGCCATAGGGAGGAGAGGGCTGTCCTGGAGCTGGTGCAGGACTCTGGAGGCCTGGTGGGAGGGACCCAGCTGCATGAGGCCTGCACCACCCCAGCTTTCCCTCCACATTGATCTGGAGTAAAAAGCAACTATGTTGGGTCAAAGAACTCAGCTGGTTGGCTCTGTCTTTGTGAATGAGAGAGATGCAAGGTATCCCCTAGGAGAAAGTCAACGGAACACCTCCCACCTTGGCTTAGGAGTCCAGTGGAGGGTGGGGGGACCTCCAGCTCTGCAGTAGGCCCTGGATCCTAGCCTCTGGGGCTGCTCCTCCCTCCCTTCCAGGGCCCAGAAGCAAATGGTGGTTCTGGCACTGGGACCGCCCATGACCCACTTAAAACGGAGCCAGGGCTGCCGCCCCTCCCCTGGGGGACCCAGCAGAGCAGGGGAGGGAAAAAAGGCAAGGCAGTGAAGTTGGCTGTGGGCAGCTCCCCAGATGCCCAGGCTCGTTTTCTTAGGGGCGCTCCCTTTCAGGTCTCAGAGGAGGACTCTAGGCCTGGGAAGAAGACGACTCCTCCCCGAGAGTCAGGCTCAGCCTCCAGCACTAGGGCAGGTTTTTACTCTCCCTGGTGTCTGAGCACTCCACGTTTCGTCTTCCACCCCCATTCCTGGGGCCATACTTTTCCAGTTGGCCCCAGACCCCTTCAGGGACAGAGAGAGAAGAGAGTATTCTTTCCAAAGAGTTTCCTCCGGGGTGGGACCAGGGCGGAGAAGCCAAACCCAGATCCCATCCCCCTTCTGGGGCCCTTCCTGGCCCCTCCCGACCGCACCCAGGCCCTTGCCAGGCTGAGTGGGTTGAGATGGCCCAAAATAAGAAGCTCATTAAATCCGTCTCCCACCTTCACCCCAAAATAAGAGAGAGAGAGGAAAAACCTCCTCAGACAACTCCCACGCAGCTTCCTCTGGGGCCCGGTGGGCCACCGTCTGGGCCGGGGTGGGGGTGGGGGGCGCCCGAGCCAGTCGAGACGTGTGAGGGCACCCCGGGCCAGACCCTCTCCCCACTCCCCGAGCGACGCCCCCTGGCTCCCTGCAATTAACACAGAAAAACAATTAACAACAAAAAGGGCCTGAAGGCGCCGACGCGGGTGGGGACAGGGGAAGGCAGCGACCCGGCCGATCACCCGGCTCACAAGGAGAGCTTTGTGTGGACGGAAACGCGGCCAGCGCGCCGGCGCTGCGACCCTCGACGCCAGGGATGCGGGTAGGGGGACAGCGGGGTCCTCTCGGGGAGACGGGGGCTGTGGCCCTGGACGCTCGGCCGTCCACCCTCGACCCCCATCTGGCCGCAGACGCGTCTGCTGAGGGCCTGGGCCGCCCGGGGAGGCCGGAGCGCCCATCGGAGGGCGCGCCGGCGGGAGAGCGCTGGAGAGCTGGAAAGTCGAAGGAACAACAAACTCTCGCGCATGACGAGGAGCCGGGACAGCGCGGGGTTTGAGCGGAGTCCAAATGTTTACCAGGCGGTTCCAGAGCGGAACGCAGAGCCCAAGGGAATTGGGGAAGGGGGAGTCTGCCCCAGTTGTAAAGTTCTTCCAAGGACTGGGAAAAAAGAAGGAATGGGAAAGACAGTCGGCGGCGCAGGGGGTGGGGGCAGCTGGTTGGAAGCGGGCAAAAGTTGGATCGATCTGGAAGTTTGGAGACGAAGAGGAAAAAGAAAAGGAGGGGGAGTCCTGCAGGCCCGAACAGCCGAGATCCCAAGAGCCCTCCTCTCCGAATAGAGGCTGTCCCCTTGGAGACCCCCGGGCTCGCCTCCCGGCGGGCGAGACTCCAGGAAGGGCCGGGGAGCTCACTTACTTCGGGACTGAAGGTGCTGCTTTGGGTCGAGCCGAGGGAGGCGAGCGCGGTGCCGAGCGTGAGCAGGGGGAGCAGGAGACAACGGGAGGGTCTTGGGGCGGGAGACATGGTCCGAGACCACCGGGTCAGCCGGGCAGTGTGGGCTCCGCGGCGGGGCCCACGCCCTGGGGTCGCACCGCCACTCCCTCGGGGCGCCTTTGTCTTCGGTAGCACTGAACTTTAATTCCTAGAGCGCTGTCGGCTTGGAATTAAGGGGATTGTTCCTGAAAGTGCCTGTTTGCTCTTCTCCTCTTTTCCGGTTTTTGATCTTTCTTCTGCTTAGTCGGCGAACTGGGGTCTGGATCCCTCTCGCTCTCTCCTCTGGTCCCTCCCTTTTCCCGCAGCCTCTCCTCCGTCCCCGCCCCAGTGCCCTCCTTTCCTGGTTGGGGACGTGGTTGTTTTAGCCTGAATCCAATTACAACCAAGAACTGGAAAAAAAAAAAAAAAAAAAAAAAAACCAACCCGCTAAGTTGCCTTTTTGTGGTGCAGGCTGCCATCTGCAGGGGTTGAGGCCACGGTGGACAGCAGGGGGCTGTAGGGGACCCAGGGGACGGGATGTGGGAGACTTTCTCCCCATAAGCATATTCTGAGTGGCTTGATTCCTCTGGTATTCAGCATTTGTCTCACCTCAGGGTGGAAATTATTGGGGGCTACGTGGCTATGGGCAACAAGGAGCTCAAAGTGTGGGATGGTGAGGTCTTCCTCTATGCTCATGAGACCTGCATAGGGAGAAGGGGCCAGTTTACTAATAGTTGGGGGGTTATCTTCTGGCCCCTATAGACAACTGTCTATGTTCCTCCCTCCGCTGCCAAAAATTCCAAACTATAACCCAACTACCAACAAAAAACCCCACAACCATACTGGATCTGTGGCTCCAACCTTGTAGAAAGATTCCTTTATTGTCATTTGTAATGTGGCTGCACCTTTAATTGGAACTCGCTGACAGGAAAAGGGTACAAGGCCATGGGATCTGGGGAAAGCAAATCAAGCTGGGTGAAATTATTGTAAAAGAAGGGATTGGGAGTTGGGACGCTGGGGTTTAGTTCCACCTCTACACTGAAAAAGGAGGCAATTCTTAAAGAGTAAAATCTCCTTTAGGGACTTATTGGACTCAACAAAAGATGGAGGTATGTAGGAAAGGGAGAGGGCAGGATAAAGCTGACCGTGAGAAAGGGAGACAGATAAAGAGTCCGGAACTAGACAGATGTGGAAAAGCAGCACAACAGAAGCAGGAAAAGTGTGGGAGACAGAAAACTCGACTATCAGCGAAATCTAAGATCCAAGAATTGCATTTGGTCAGTGAGAGAGGACGGAGGTAGTGCGAGGAGGGAGAAGAAAGCAAAGGAAGGAATAAAGGAGGGTGGACAGAAATCAGGTCAGGTAGGAAGCTTCAGAAATCCAAGGGATTCAGGAACTATCGCACTTCTGTGGCAGAAGAATGGAAGTCTAGTGCTCAGTACTGTAATGAAAACAAAGGTCTTTTGCTCTCAGATTCACGATCAATAAAATGAAAAGCTTTTCAGGTCCTGTGGAGCCTCCAGGTTTGTGGGAGGTATATGGTGTGTATTTATTTATTTATTTATTTATTTATTTTGAGATGGAGTCTTGCTCTGTCACCCAGGCTGGAGTGCAGTGCACCCAGGCTGGAGTGCAGTGGTGCAATCTCGGCTCACTGCAAGCTCCGCCTCCTGGGTTCATGCCATTCTCCTGCCTCAGCCTCCCGAGTAGCTGGGACTACAGGCACCCGCTACCACGCCCGGCTAATTTTTTGTATTTTTGGTAGAGACGGGGTTTCACCTTGTTAGCCAGGATGGTCTCGATCTCCTGACCTTGTGATCCGCCCGTCTTGGCCTCCCATGGTTGTGTTATTAAACAGTTACCTACCCCACAGTGACTGAGGGCTAAGCCCTTACGTAGGGCTTTCCTACACAAACTGGGGTTGGAAGGTACAAGCCCCTCTTCAACCAATCTCTGGAATACAGTCAGAAACATGGAGACCTCAGAACCCCACTCTTGGCAGAACATGCAACACCCAGGTATGGTTCTTCCCACATCAGCCTTCCCAGTGGGGGTAACCACCTGGACCACGTATTTGAATCTTAGGAAGACTGACACCAGATGCTTGTCAAAAAAGGGACCTAGACTAGAAAATTTTTTTTTCTTTTTTTTGAGATGGAGTCTCACTCTGTCGCCCAGGCTGGAGTGTAGTGGTATAATCTTGGCTCACCACAACCTCCACCTCCTGGATTCAAGTCATTCTCCTGCCTTAGCCTCCCAAGTAGCTGGGATTACAGGTGTGTGCCACCACCCCTGGCTAATTTTTGTATTTTGAGTAGAGAAGGGGGGGGGTTCACCATGTTGGCTGGGCTGGTCTTGAACTCCTGACCTTGTGATCCACCCGCCTCAGCCTCCCAAAGTGCTGGGATTACAGGCGTGAGCCACCGTGCCCGGCTGAAAATCTTTTTCATGAAAACATTTATTAGATGCCAGCTGTACATGGCCTAAACTGTGTATGGGCTCTTAAAGGCTTTAGTGCCTGGCTAGAACCAGGAAAACTGCTGTCCCCTTTTCATGTGCACAGAACAGCTATTTCTCATAGTTGGGCCAGTCCTATGGCCTGCAAAGGAGGTAAACATTTTAAAGCAAGACTTAGCCGAACTGGAATGGAGCCAGAGATGAGGGCACTAAGCCAAGCCTCCCAGGCAGTGATTTAACAGCTTGTTCTTGGTGTCCCAGCTCTTTTGCTTTGGAGACAGATGGGGAATGTGAAGGCTCTCTTCTGGGTGGGATGAAGCATCTAGGTGACAGAAAAGAAATCCAGAGAGAGGCTGAGGGAGGCAGAAGCTGCTTTTTATTGACTTGGAAGTGGGCTCTTTAGTGAAGCCCCTTTGGATTTAAGAGCATTTTCCTTCTTCCTTTGTTCTTCCTGCAACTTCTGCTGCCTGAGCTGCCATGCTTGTAATCCAGTGTCCATTTCCTGTGACAGCAGTACAACTCGTCTCTGAAACAGACAGGAAAACAGTGTGGATAACATCTGGGACTTAAGCGCTACACTATATATCCTTCCACTTACAAATTCAAAGGTTTCATCTGGAAAATGACACTGCTGACTCCCCAGTGGGAGCAAGTCCTGGCTTGGGAAGCAGAGGGAGACAGCAAAATGCGCAGCAGGATGTCTACTACTGGTTCCTGTCCTGGCAGTGCCCCACTCTCTTCCTCCCTTCTCACAGTGCTATTAAAACCTTTGGCTGGGGCCAGGCACGGTGGCTCACGCCTGTAATCCCAGCACTTTGGGAAGCTGAGGCAGGCGTATCCCCTGAGGTCAGGAGTTTGAGACCAGTCTGATCAAAATGGAGAAACTCCGTCTCTACTAAAAATACAAAATTAGCCAGGCGTGGTGGCACATGCCTGTAATCCCAGCTACTCGGGAGACTGAGGCTGCAGAATCGCTTGAACCCGGGAGTAGGAAGTTGAGGTGAGCTGAGATGGCACCATTGCACTCCAGCCTGGGCAACGAGCGAAACTCCATCTCACAAAAAACAAAAACAAAAACATAAACAACCTTTGGCTGTTATTAATAAAACCTCTGCATGAGGGGTACATGTTTGCTTAGGTGCAACACAGCTCAAGACAAATTATGATTTAAATGTTCTCCTTCCAGGTAGCCCTGGCTGTTGCTCTAGCCACTCACTGCAAACTTCTCCCTTTCAGCTTTTCTTCGAAGTTGGCCTTTCATTGGGGGAGCAGGGCGGCCATCTACAAGTAGAAGTGAGAGAAAAGGCAAGTGTTAGAGACGGTCTGCAGCACCTTGTGCAAATACTGTGATAGGAATAAGGGAAGAACCAATCTCTAGCTCCTCTCTTCCATTTCATATACACTGTAGCTTAATTAAGCTAAAATACGTCCCTCATCTTCAGGGGTAAGGTACGATAACCCAGAATGAGCTCTCAGGCATACTACTACTCTCTTTCATTTTATTTCATTTATCTATTTAGTTTTTCAGAGAGTCTTGCTCTGTTGCCACGTTGGAGTGCAGTGGCACAATCTCAGCTCACTGCAACCTCTGCCTCCCGGGTTCAAGAGATTCTCCTGCCTCAGACTCCTGAGTAGCTGGGACTACAGGCATGTGCCACCATTCCTAATTTTTGTATTTTTAGTAGAGACGGGGTTTCACCATGTTGGCCAGTATAGTCTTGATCACTTGACCTTGTGATCCACCTGGCTCAGCCTCCCAAAGTGCTGGGAATCCAAGCGTGAGCCACTGTGCCTGGCCTTTTTAATTTTATTTTTTATTTTGAGACAGACTTTTGCTCTTTTGCCCAGGCTGGAGTGCAATGGCATGATCTCGGCTCACCTCAACTTCTGCCTCCCCGGTTCAAGTGATTCTCCTGCCTCAGCCTCCTGAGTAGCTGGGATTACAGGTGCGTGCCACCATACCCGGCTATTTACTACTCTATTTCACTTAACTCTCATTAGCCTTGTATTTGAGGTCCTCTGCAATGCTGAATCTGTTTTGTCTTCAGAAATTCTTAAGCAATGTGATCACTGTTGTACTATGTATCTTTGCTAAATTCCATCCCACTCCACAATGAAATGCCCTCTTTTCTTTTTCTTCCAGCCAAATTTTCATCCTTAGGTCCACTCAAACCCTAACTTTCCCAGAAACTCTAATCTCTTCAAATCCATCAGCCTTTTCTTCTGAAAGAAGTGCTGACTATTTAATATTCACCTATTTGCCTTGGGACATTTACTGTACTTTTTTTCTTTAAGTGTTATTTAGCTACCTCAGGTCCTTTTGGAAAGGGGCAGAGTATTGAAATACTATTATTTATTATTATTATTTTTGAGACAAGGTCTTGCTCCGTCGCCCAGGCTGGAGTGCAATGGCACAATCTCAGATCATTACAACCTCCACCTGCTGGGCTCAGGCGATTCTCCTGCCTCAGCCTCCTGAGTAGCTGGGACTATAGGCACATGCCACGGTGCCTGGCCCTGAATACTATTACTTAATTTTTAAAACGTCCACGCTTTGTCCCAGTTAGACTTTAAGTTCCCTGGGTCAAGAACGGTATCGCTAGCTTTTGCTATTCATAGTATAGTGTAGGCACATAAGCATGTTAATAAACATCCACAAATATCTGCTGACTTGCTGAAAAGATGCAGTATCTGACCCAAGTAGTTTACTTTCTGCAAAGAAAGAAACAGAGTGAAAACTCTGCCCAAAAGTTTGAAGGCAAGACAGAGAAGAGGTGATATTTATCAGGAAGGGGAACCAATATTGTGTATGCCACGTGCTTTACATTGGTTGTTTCATTTTATCCTTATAAGAACCGTATGAGATAGGTATTCTTTTACAGATATGGAAACTGAGACTAAGATAAAATTAAGTAACTTGTCCAAGACCACAAAGTTAGCGAGAAGGGAAGCCTAGATTAAGAATAAGGTCCACAGGCTGGGCGTGGTGGCTCATGCCTGTAATCCCAGCACTTTGGGAGGCTAAGGGGATCACTTGAACTAAAGAGTTCAAGACCAGCTTGGGCAACATAGCAAGACCTTATCTCTACTAGGTGTTAAAAAAAAAAAAAATTAGCCAGGAATGGTGGTGTGTGCCCGTGGTCCCACCTACTTGGGGGGCTGAGGTGGGAGGACTGCTTGAGCCCAGGAGATCAAGGCTGCAGTGAGCGATGATCATGCCACTGCACTTCAGCCTGGGTGACAGGGAAAGACCCTATTTCAAAAAAAAAAAAAAAAAAGAAGCAGTCATATATAATTCCAGAGTCTTTCCAACAGTCCATACTCCTACAAGGAGATGCCAAGCTTCTTACAGTAAATAACAAGTGGAAAAAATCTTCACCATCTTCCTCAGTCACCAATTATCCAATTAAGCAGGATCATACTCCTAGAGAGCAACAATAGGGGATTAAATATTCAGATCTCTGTGTTGTCAAGGAGGACTGGCCTATGTTTAGTCCTGGCTTTGCTACTACCTAGCTGTATGATCACGGGCAATTCACTTCTGTAGGCCTCAAATTTCCTACTTGTACACTGGAGTCTCATAAGAAGAATGGGGAGTAGCTTCAACTTCTCTAAGGTCCCTCCCTTCTAGGGCTAATATCTACTCTCCCCCACCCCTCTCTTTTGTAAGTAAAGGGAAAATAATTTTCTGAAGGGAGCCTGCCATCCGTAGTCTTCATCCTTCTACCCCTCTGAGATGTTTATTTCTGTAGCTTTTCAAAGAGCTCCCCCTGCATTTGGTACCAAATACTGAAAATTCACTAACCACACAGAAAAGTGGTTCTTGGTTAAAAAAAATAATGTCCCCCTTTAAAAAACGCAGAAGTCTTGTCACCCGCTTCCACCCTGGCGGCCCCAAGTCAGAATTATCTTCTGCTTATCTCCACAAGTCAAGATCCTGTTTAGCTTTACCTTCCTTAGTTGAAGTGTAATCTACAAAATAAACACGAGGGATTCCCCAAATTCCGTTTTCCAAATAGAAAGTTCAACACTTTTACACGCCCCCACCTTGATACCCCCAGCTCCCCGTCCAGGGGCGTTCCCTCTGGGTGAAAATCTCCCCAGTGGAGTTAACTGTCAGATCAGCGCTCACCCGCATATGACCAGTCTGGGAGGTCTGTAAGGGGCCCGTAGCCGGAGGGGTTGGCAGCCAGTCCCTGCCTGTGTGGAGAAAAACAGATCTGTGAGGACCCAGCCCGGCTTCTGGTCCCCCAGGATCCCTCATCCCAGCACTCACTGTAGTCGCCACTGGCTGCCCGCCCAAGCGGCTGCGCCGCAGTGCAGCCTCCGGACACCTGCTGGGAAAACAGAACAGAGCTGGGGGAGAGGCCGCGCAGCCGGATCAGGGGTCCTGTGCCCCTCCCCAACGCGCCTCCGAGTCCACGGTCACTATCTATACCCACTCACTGAAGAGAACAGTCGCTAAAGCAGCCATGCTGAGCCGGAGTCGCCGGAAGTAGGCGTGGCCTCGGTGGCCACGCGCGACGCTATGGGGGAAGCTGGAAGTCGCCATCTTGAATCTGGGTTTTCAATCCCGGGCTCCGCCATCTTGGGTCATCGTACGGAAGGAGAGACAAAACTGCGATCCAGGTTTTTGAGGTGAAAACGAATTGTCGTTCAGGGCATGCATTCTCAGTAGAAGTCGTGTCCTCCCAGATTAAACCGTTCTGAACAGTTCCCACAATCTCCCTACAGCGGTCTCTAGTTCATCGAAATTGATATTAATAGTAACTTTGATCTCAGAGGAGTAACATCAACGTCATTCTACAGATCCTCGCATCACTGTAACACAGTTTTCCTAGACTAAGAAAAGTAATCAAATCTAGAGTTAATCGGAAATTGGGCCAGCCTGGGCAACATGGCGAAACTCCCTCTCTACAAAAAAATGAAAAATTAGCTGGGTGTGGTGGTGCATGCATGTGGTCCCAGCTACTTGGGAGGCTGAGGTGGGAGGATCGCTTGAGCCTGGGAGGCCCAAGGCTGCAGTAGGCAGAGATCACGCCACTGCACTCCAGTCTGGGTGACAGAGCCAGACCTTGCCTCAAAAAAAATTCCATATGACAAGTGCTGTATTAGGTGTAGGAGATTTTATGGAGAATAAAACCAGACATTAATATCCTGATAGAGCTTTCGGAATAAAAGAAAAAAGACAGGCCGGGTGCAGTGGCTCACATTTGTAATCCCAGCACTTTGGGAGGCTGAGGTGGGCGGATCACCTGAGGTTGGGAGTTCGAGACCAGCCTGACCAACATGGAGAAACCCTGTCTCTACTAAAAATACAAAATTAGCCAGACATGGTGGCACATGCCTGTAATCCCAGCTACTCTGGAGACTGAGGCAGGAGAATTACTTGAACCCGGGAGGCGGAGGTTGCTGTGATCTGAGATTGCGGTGATCCGAGATTGTGCCATTGTACTGCCTGCCCTGTAGAGCATCCCTGGCGGGGACTCTGGCCAGATTAAGCAATGCGGATCCTGAGAACGCTCCTGGACACTGGCTTAAAGAAGGAAGAGGTTTATTCGGCTGGGAGCTTGGCTTTTAAGACACAAATCTGCTGACGTTCCCGGCCGAATAAACCTCTTCTTTCTTTAATCCGGTGCTGAGGAGTTTTGACTGTGGCTCGTTCTGCTACAGTACTCCAGCCTGGGCAACAAGAGTGAAACTCCATCTCAAAAAAAAAAAAAAAAAAAAAAAGACAATCAAATGATGACATACATTAATACTGTCATTCATATGTTAATACTGTCATTCATATGTTAATACTGTCATTGAGTGCTGGGAAAGGAAGTACATGTTGTTTATGAGTTTATAGTGTGAACTTGATCTACAGTACACCATCAAAGATGACTTTCCTGAGAAAGGGGTATTGTATTGGAGCTAAGATGTGACATTCCATTTTTATAAGTGCTACTGCCACACATTGGTTAATATTATCCTTGCAACAACCCTGTGAGGTAGGTACTAGAAAGTGGCAAACCCTCATTGGTGACTCCCCTCCTTTTATCACTTGCTATTCAGTGATGTCTTGGAGAAGTTATTTATCCTTCATTTTTTAATTTTAAAAATGCTAAATATGTTACATTTGTGAAAACAGTCTAAAAGTGATAATGTGAGTGAAAGTGCTTTATAAATCCTGAAACTCCTACAAAAGAGCCCATTAACTGTATGCCAGGTGTGAAGGGAAAATATCTTGGGCCTCTTCAAGCTGAGAACCTGAGAACCACAGAATTGGAGGCAGATTTGTGCCTCCAATTCTATTCAAAGTCATCTCTCTGCTCACAGAGATAGATGCATATTCTGATTACCTCTTCTGGAAAGACTTATCAGAAACTCAAAATAATGCAACCATCTGTCTCTCACCTACATGTGACCTGGAGGCCCCCAGTGAGGGGGGGCCTCGCTTTGAGCTGTCTCTGCCTCTCTGGACAGAACAAATACTAATGTACTTCTTACATTTTGATGTCTTCCTAAAATGTATAAAACCAAGCTGTGCCCGGACCACATTGGGCACATCTCTTCAGGACTTCCTGAGACTGTGTTACAGGCGTGTCCTCAACCTTGGCAAAATAAACTTTCTAAATTAACTGAGACCTGTCTCAAATTTTGGGAGTTCACATTTTGGTAACCACAGGAGAATTCTGAGTGGAGATGCCCTTAACCTTTAAAAAAAAAATCTCCTATTGTCTAGGCACGGTGACCCATGCCTGTAATCACAGCACTTTGGGAGGCCAAGGCAAGTGCATCACTTGAGGTCAGGAGTTGGAGACCAGCCTGGCCAACATGGTGAAACCCCATCTCTACTAAAAATGCAAAATTAGCTGGGCACGGTGGCTCACGCCTGCAATCCCAGCACTTTGGGAGGCCAAGGCGGGCGGATCATGAGGTCAGGAGATCGAGACCATCCTGGCTAACACGGTGAAACCGCATCTCTACTAAAAATACAAACAATTAGCCTGGTGTGGTGGCGGACGCCTGTAGTCCCAGCTGCTCGGGAGGCTGAGGCAGGAGAATGGCGTGAACCCAGGAGGCGCAGCTTGCAGTGAGCCGAGATTGTGCCACTGCGCTCCAGCTCTGGGCGACAGAGCAAGATTCTGTCTGAAAAAAAAAAAAATTAGGTGTGGTGGCGTGTGCTTGTAATCCCAACTACTCGGGTGGCTGAGGCAGGAGAATAACTTAAACCCGGGAGGCAGAGGTTGCAGTGAGCCAAGATGGCGCCACTGCACTCCAGCCTGGGCAACAGAGCGAGACTCCATCTCAAAAAAATAAAAGAAATCTCCTATTGGTGCTTGGTACCAGCATGAGCTAACTTTATGGCTCAAACCAATAGGGCAATTTGCTGAGGTCTGAGAGCACCCCCTCCAGAGAATCCCTGATCTCCCAAAATTTGGTTGAGATCTAAAGTAGTTTATTTTGCTGTACAACTCCTTTTTTCTTTCTTTCTTTCTTTTTTTTTTTTTTGAGTTTTACTTGCTTCCTACAGGAAGGTAAGTTTTCCTCTTTCCATGAGTTCGAACTCACTTCCAACAGAGAAGACGAGTTGTTTTTTTTCCTGCTTCTAGGCTGGTAGAGAGCAGTCTACAGCCTGTGACCCATCACTAGGTAAGAAACTGGTTTGGCATTTTTGTCTTGCAAATTCCTTTTAAACGAATAAAGTTAGCATTTAACAGCCAGCTGGTGTTAATTTCTGCTTACACTTAGAGCGCTCAGAAATCATATAATTTGTGTGATCACTGTTAGTTTAGTAGCATTTTGTCATAGCTGAAATATGGTAATGAGATTTAAAAATTTTTTTTTCTTTTGTTAAGGAGCTCAATAGTTAAAAGTCAGCTTAATTAAAAGGCTAACATCCAAGATGTGTGTCTGTATGCATGCATGTGTGCATATTTGTATTTAAAAGGCTTTCATTAGGCCGGGCTCGGTGACTCACGCTTGTAATCCTAGCACTTTGGGAGGCCCAGGCGTGTGGATCACAAGGTCAGGAGTTTGAGACCAGCCTGGCCAACATCGTCAAACCCCGTCTCTACTAAAGATTCAAAAATTAGCCAGGCTTGGTATCGCGCACCTATAGTCCCAGCAACTGGGGAGGCTGAGGCAGGAGAATTGCTTGAACCTGGGAGGCGGAGATTGCAGTGAGCAAAGATCGAGCCATTGCACTCCAGCCTGGGCAACAAGAGTGAAACTCTGTCTCCAAAAAACACAAACAAACAAACAAACAAAAACTGAGATAAGATTTTTTTTTTCTTTTTCTTTCTTTTTCTTTTTTCTTTTTTTTGGGATGGAGCCTTGCTCTGTCACCAGGCTGTAGTGCAGTGGCGGGATCTCAGCTCACTGCAACCTCTGCCTCCCAGGTTCAAGTGATTCTCTTGCCTCAGCCTCCCTAGTAGCTGGGACTACAGGCATGCGACACCATGCCTGGCTTATATATATATATATATATATATATATATATATATATATTTTGAGACAGAGTTTCACTCTTGCCACCCAGGCTGGAGTGCAATGGCGCAATCTTGGCTCACTGCAACCTCCGCCTCCCAGGTTCAAGTGGTTCTCCTGCCTCAGCCTCCCAAGTAGCTGGGATTACTGGCACCCACCACCATGCCTGGCTAATTTTTGTATTTTTAGTAGAGATGGCGTTTTATCATTTTGGCCAGGCTGTTCTTGAACTCCTGACCTTAGGTGATCCACCCACCTTGGCCTCTCAAAGTGCTGGGATTATAGGTGTGAGCCACCGTGTCCAGCCTAATTTTTGTATTTTCAGTAGAGATGGGGTTTCACCATGTTGGCCAGGCTGGTCTTGAACTCCTGACCTCAGGTGATCTGCCCACCTTGGCCTTCCAAAGTCCTGGGATTACAGATTATAGGTGTGAGCCACCACACCCAGCCTGTATGTGCTTTTTTTTTTTTTTTTTTTTTTGAGATAGAGTCTTGCTCTGTGGCCCAGGCTGCAATGTAGTAGCGCTATCTCGGCTCACTGCAGCCTCTGCCTCCTTGGTTCAAGCGATTCTCCTGCCTCAGCCTCCTGAGTAGCTGAGACTACAGGTGCGCGCTGCCATGCCCGGCTAATTTTTGTATTTTTAGTAGAGACGGGGTTTCACAATGTTGGTCAGGATAGTCTTGATCTCCTGACCTTGTGATCCGCCCACCTCGGCCTCCCAAAGTGCTGGGATTACAGGTGCAAGCCGCGGTGCCTGGCCTGTATGTGCTTTTAAAGTCCTTGTGACATTGAGTTTCAGGGGTCTGACTCTTGGGTCTAAAAAGGACATCAAGTCCTGCTAAATCTTAAACACTGACAACAATTAAAGCCTCATCTTCAAGCCCCATAGAACATGCAAATCAAAATAAACTGCTTTCCTGAGACACAGGGCCTGAAATTAAAGTTATTCAATTCCTCAAGGCCCAGGGACTATTGTGGAAGAGGTAGGCATGTAAGATTGTAAGAGCCAATTTTGAAATGTGAAATAAGTTCAGCTTCTCTATAAATATC